AGAGGCTTCATAGACAGTCAGTCAGTTAGTATTGAGTCTCTCATCTATGTATATATGTAAATATTCTATTTTGAGACAAGAGTTGCCTTTTTGGCCAGATTTTATCAGTTAAGTTGTTTTATGTCTTTGCATGGCATGGAGTTATTCTATTGAGTTAGGTTTCCGCTGAGTTAAGAAAGCCAGGCCAAGGGTTCGCTTGGGGCCAGCAATGGTCTCCGGGTGCCGGCCATGCCCAGGGTGTAGGCTCGAGGCGTGACAAGCTTCATCTGTTGTAACTCCTTCAAAGGAGTATAGCTTTTTAAGCAATTCTTCTTCATGTTGGCCAGAAATCTTTAAAAATAAGCACATCATAATATAGCATGAGAAAACTGAAATGCAGTTAAATATATAGGATTCAGCATTGAGCAAAGAAGAAACATCTTGTACATTGTAAGACATCATAGGATCATGAACAACGACGACTCGTCTTACTTTTGATGAAATATCGCGTATGAAAGAAGCAATGGGATCGCGAAGAAGCATAGAAACATCCCATATTGTCTAAAGATTTGATGAGGCTATTAGTTCAGGATTTGGAAGGTCATGGAAGTGAAGTTTGGCTATGTTTGAAGGATTTAACGCGTTAGCTCGAATCCTGGCTTGATGATTATGTGTTGCCAAACCAACATAATAGACAGGAAGATGATAGGAGGAGATTAAACATGAAAGTTGGAGAAGTTGGTTAAGATGGCCTTGAGATGGAAATGGAACCATAACTATAGCTACTTCATCTTGTTTCAGTTTGCTAAATTCATGGTTTTCTACTTGTGTCATGGTAGAAGCAGGGAGGTAACAACTTTGAAGTTTATTCAATCTTTTATAGAAGATGTTCTTGAAGTGAGTGTGTATATATATACTAGTGGTTAAAGGCGTGTAAAATTCTTTGAGGTGGTGTGTTCAAGTCCTATCAGCTTCATAATTATACTCATTTTTTATATATATATGAAAAACCTTCTTAATGGCACACAACATATGGGACCCATTTTGATAGATCTCTGGGATGGGTGTCTTTAGTTGTCACTGAGAGCTTTTCTCTGGTTTCATTGACAGGTCTATGGATCAATGCAATGTGTTGCTCACTTATTGGGTGAGCTTGGCTTCCCTTATCTGCCTGATTCTTTTGCCTTTAATATTTAGTAAGTAGCTCAAATTCTTATAATTATGTTTATGCTTTCTTCTTTAGGATTCAATTCTTATCTTCGTTTGCAATTTCTTTTCAATTCATGGAATCCAAATGTTTTATCTCCTGCAGTTCATGGGAAGCCCTCAAAAGCAATTGTAGATTCTTTGGCGTTATTTGGGGTGAGAATGATCTCTTATTGTTAAAGTTCCTGAATATCTTCTGTGGTTTGTTCAAATTATTCTGTTTCTTTGTATTCAAGTTGAAAAAATACTTGTGGGAGGTGAAATTGTGTTCGCACATTAACTTCAGCTTGGAAAAGATTTATGAAAGTTGAACATTTGTGAGCGAAACCAATATTTTACTTGAAATACACCGTCAACCAGTATTTCAGTCATTCAATGTTTTGTATACTGAAATTCAATTATTTTGCAAATACTCGCCAAACTAGTATTTGCATAATGGAATACAAATATTTATGCCACAGTTACAATTTTCTCCATAATTTTAACAGCTTTAACGAAGTTCTTACTTTTATATGTCTCCTTGAATAGTTTACTGTAAGTTACATCCAAAGAGAACTTCTGTAAAATGATCAATTATTTGAAAATCACTTTCTTAAATAACCAGAAGCCATGGTAATCAGAAAGGTGCTCCTGTTGCTCATATTCCTTCCATCCAGTATTAATTGTTAGTAATGTAACAAATGGCTTCAGTTAGTGAAATGTCTTACCATTCATATGAATGCTGCCTACTAAATGAATTCTGTTTCCGATTTGAAATTATACTAATTCATTTGTATATGCTTAGTACAGTTATTGGACTATTGTTTCTAAAATTATTTACTATGGTGAAAGTTTACTCATTCTTGCCCGACCTCATGACTTATACAGGCAGGAGCCATGCTGGGGGATACTTTCCTTCACCAATTGCCACATGCTTTTGGTACAATGAAGAAGTAACATTGCATATTGCTTTTTGGCTCACTTACCTTTAAATACCATAAACTGTTAGCTCTACTCCATCATTTACTTAGCTTAATAACTGTTAAAATGACATAAGCGAGATGTCTTTACATCAGGCATGCTTCTTAGATGTCTA